GGAGAACAGCAGACTACAGACAAGGCTTGATAGACACTGTTTCTAATTGCTGATTTGGGAGCTGGCTGTGGGTTGGTCAGCTGGTTTTACCCAGCCCAGAATAGACCACTTCCAACACAACTGAGTTGAGATAGAAATAGAGAAGGAATATTTCCAATCACATCCATGATTAAGGAAGTTTCTTTATGCTGCTTTTGGTTCATGGTATCTTTACGCTTTCTTTTTTCTTTGTTATTCAAGGCTTAAATAGCTCATTGTGTACTTTATAGAGCAAGTTATTTTCAAGTTTATCTAATATTCTTAGGCCCTATCTTCAGTTGTTTGCCCGATATCTGGGGAGGAGAAGGGCCTCTTTGGATCAACACGGGGTCAGGCTTTGGGAAAGACCAAGCAGAAATGAAGAGCTGCCACTGCCTCTGTACACAGCATGATAAGAACACTGGTGAGGATGTGAAGATACTGGACAGAAGGGTCACAAAAAATGACCCAGCAATGAAAAACAAACCTTGCGATAGAAGTCATCATCTCAGCAATTTTATCAGGGAGAAGATTGAAGAGGTGACTTGACTATTGAGTCAATGCTGGGTTTTTAACTTTGCAGACAAGGTCATAACCAATTGTCCTGGACAAGGACCACATGTGTTGCAGGGCAATATGAAGAGTGTCTCTCTAAAATGGCTGACTGCTGAGTCTTTCTCTTATTCCTGGCATCATACGGATAGTCAGTCTATAATCAGAGAGAAATACCCCTCAGGTGATACAGGGGAGAAGGCATTTGCAGAGTGTAAAGATAAGTTCATTAATACATCTGAAGTTTTCAAACGAATACTGTAAGAGAGAAAGCCCCATGAGAAAATGAATGATTATGTCTTCCGAGCAAGTCTCAAACAGCATTCAGTATAAAGGACCTGGAACTGAATAATGAATAATGGGGGAAAAGAGAAGGGAACAGGACTTTAACACTTGTTCACTAAGCAAAGGGAAAAATACCCAATCATACAAATACCAATAGTATATGCACAGTGCTGGTGAACTGATGTGAGGCACATAGTCTTCATACTGGAATTTCTTAGCTTTTATTAGAAGTTCTAAAATTAATTTAAAATTGTCCTTGGTTTAAAAATAGCTTTTCTATGTATAGCATTCTAAAGATATGAATATACACATAGATGTGGGCTTACAATGGCAGTTACATTTCATAAATAAATGTGCACATAAACACTTCCAAACACATCCTGCGTGGTCTGCCTCAGGAAATGTGGTGGATGGTTCTCCAGCTGCCTGACATTTCAGCAGGCAGCACTGATGTATAAAGCAAGAACACATCTCAAAGTTTGACTCCATGGCTGATGATGCCAGTGTGAAACCAAGCCAAGGAGGAAAAGGCAGGTCAAAATTTGTCCTCTTTCCAGAGTCCTCAACCCTAAGACACATTTTTCCGCTTTCCTCTGCAGCCATCATTCACCATGGGGTTCCCCCATTTCTACAGGGAATGAAGCTTCTCTTTATTCTCACTAGAGTTGATGTCACAGCCATGGAAGGATTAATTTGCACAAGGCCATTACTGCGCCGGTGCTGTGCCTACCAGTCAAACTCAATGAAGGTGAGTCTGAGCATATGGCTGCTGCACCCTGGCAGGTTCCGGAGAACACTGATGTGTGTGACTTCTTGTGAAGCTGCCTGTGTATGGATCTCCCCCTCCTCGTTGCTTCTGCAGTCTCAGCAATATTCAGCTGAAATTTCTCAGTGAAATTATTCTTTATTTTTGTCACCCTGTTGTTAAGCACTTTTAATTCTTCAGCAACACTAGCTTTCAATTACCCTCTGGGATTCAGGAACACCAATGAATCAGCCTTTAGGAGGCCGGTAGGGATGCTGGCCAGTCATCACCTTTACTTCTTCTTAGACTCAGTGCCCTGTTTCTATGCACAGCTACAATACCATGCCTTCCACTGTAATGTCTGGGATCAAGCCTATCCTTTAACTGACAGCAATTTATGCCTGGTCACCTCACAGGTGTATTTTGGGAACAGACCTAGTATTCATTACTGCTCCACCTACGCCTTGATTTTCATGCAAAGGAAACGTGGGAGCCAGGGCAGAAGGCAGCTGTAGGGAGGCATGGAGCTCTCTAAGAGGTTCCTCTGATCTGAACAGACAGCAACCAAGGATCACAGCCCAGGGTGCAAAGCACATCACACCATAGTCTGAAGTCAAGCTAAGAGCTACAAGGCTCTAAGTTTTCCTGGGAGCTCCAGAAAACTACAGAGGAACCCAAAGAACACGTCACCTGCAGAGCGAAGGTCATCGCCAGCAGACGTCCTGTCCCAACTCACTTGCCTTCTCCCAAGAGCTGGATTTTTTCTCATTCCAAATCCCTTCCTAAAGTTTATCAGAGGGCTGCAGAGCCAGCTTTTGCCTAACTGCTCAACACCTCTTGGAAACTTGTAATTCACACTTCTAATAAATCTTTAAAATTATGTGGAGCATCACACACATTAATACTTACCTTTAAAAATACTTCCAGTGCAGATAGCAATCTGATTGAGAAAAATTTTAGCAGCTGTAGGCTTGAAGAGGAAATTATTAATTTAGGACCTTATGCTACCCTCAGAACACCTTTATCAGCTTTTATGATTTCTTAAAAATGTTAATGCAAAGGCAGGCATGTGGAACTCTAATTGGAGAGTAGCAGAGCCTCACCACACTCAAAACCTCTCGTGGGTGCAGTGTAACTGAAGTAATACTCAGTGAGCCCTTCCTGCAAATTCCTCCCTGCGGATTCCTACCGAAACCAGAAAGACTAATTTAACTTTGCCACACACCACGAATGTGGGTTGACCGATCTGTAATTGGAATGGGTGTGTTTTGTGAATGAATTTGTTGTTATATTTAGATCTGGTTCTAAAGACAAAATACAGTTGTAAGTATTTTTACTAGTGGGGTCTTTTTCTCTTTCAAAGCCAAGCCTAGAAATAGTCTGACAAATGTTGAGACAAATTTACTAACCTCAATTCCTCAGTAGTAGTATTTATACAACTTGAAGTTCCCTGCACAAGGCAATGCAGGAAAGAACAGCAAACACAGGAAGGGAGCACAGGAAAGGGAAATAACAGACTTCAGTTTTTTGGTGGAGACATTACATCATTTGCTTTGTAATGTATCTGTATTTCACAGCCAGAATAATATCAGCCAGCTCCAAGATAAGGAACACGTTTATTTAGAGAATAAATCTAGTTTAGATTTCATCATAATGTCAATATTTGCTATATTAATAGTACAGTTCCTCTAATACTCAGTAGTTAATGGTATGTTGTGTGCAAAGTGAAAAGATCTTCCGAATGAGCTGTGCATATAACCTGGGAATTGCCAGGTTCAGAACATGGTTCACTCTGTTTTTGGCGGGTTCCTTCATTGCTTGGTGTAAGGAAATAGGAATAGGTCTTCAACTGGCAGGAACCAGTTGAGTTCCACCTCACAGGGCTTTGGTTTGGGTTTTTTCTTCAAGATTTTACTACCAAACCTGACAACTAAGACAAATTATCAGATTCGTGTCAAAAACGGCGGACAGTACAGCCTAGCCATCACAGGCCATTGCAGCAGAGTTTACGCAAAGACTTCTCCCTGCCCCATGGCAAGATGTGGACCAGTGGAGGCCAGGCTCTGGTGACCAGCGTGCTGGGTTGGGCTCCAGCTGCAGTTGCCTGGGGAGTCATTGCTGTAGGTAGAGGGGCAACAGCCAGTGAAGCTGCTACATGGACATCACAGAAGTGCTGGGGACATTGCAGATGGAATGCGTGAGTTTGCTCAGCACTGAAATCTTGAACCCCTTGATTAGATAATGGAGTTATACTTCATTAAATTTGGGCAGAAGGTGGAGAGGGACTTCCTTAAACATAATGCTAAGTTTAACAAGTTTCTGTAGGCCCAAGGAGAAATTTACCAATTGCTATTCTGCTAAGCCCAAACTAAACAGATGTCTTCATGGTGGGCTGCTTGATGTACATTTTCTACGCATTTATTGCAATGCATGCTGTCAAGGGCAGCTGTGTGTCTCTCCAAAGGAAGCACGTTTCTGCAGTACACACAGTGATGAACACACGAAGTAGTCAGCGGTATCCCCTCCCCACCCCCCAGCTCACATGTGTTGTGTGGGTTTGTTCTATTGTTTCTGCTGTCCCTAATATACACATAAATGACTCAGAGAATTCATAACTCATTATTCTGCAGAAGCTCTCCCCAAAGCCCTTGAAGAAGTGAATTAAGCATGCCTTCTGACACCGCATTTACCATTGCCTGGTGATGACTTTGTGATTGATGACTCACCAACCTCCCCTTTGTGAACCCTCGGTTTCCATCTCCATTGTGCCCCTGCCTGGAGCTTGCCATCTGTGCCTCCCGCTTTCTTCCACTCACATAGGTCTCTGCATAAACCTGTCCTCCTCGTGCTAATAAAGCGGACCTCACTGATGGCTATGCTGAGCAAAGCTCTTGCCCACCACATTATTGACTCTGTCCTTCAGATCTTGGTGTTTTGCAGGAATCAGAAGCTATGAGCTTGACTACCTGGCTTAGATTACCGTTCCCTTCTCTGTTCTGTCCGATGTGTCATGTGTGGCGTAGCGTGGCAATGCCCATGCTGTGCAGTGAGCTCAGGACACGCAGAGCAGCTCCCCAGACCACCATCCTCAGCAATGTACAGAACATACGGAACTGTCATAATTCACAGGAGAACAAAGTCCGATCATTTTCTACTTGAATTGAACATTTCTTTGCAAAGTTCCATCACTCACTAAGTAGAAATAATCCAGATGACTCTGTTTATTATTATACTGGTTAATTATTTGCCTTATTTCAGAATTGTCCTTTATTTCAGTAAGGTTCCTAGTAATGCAAATGTCATTCAGCTTTATTCAGATAAACCATGTTAAGTGCATAGGTTTGGCAGAGAAGTGTTCCTTTCTGCCCAAAAATTAATTCCAAATTTGTATAATACTATCTGTGAACAAATGAAGTTTTTATTAGCTTTATAGAATGCACCTCCCCTCTACAGAAAAGATGGTTACTGACAGCACAAGAGATGGTACAGAATAAAATTAAATCTAACATTCCAAACAATAATGAGTATTTCTACATATTAACATTCATACCAAGCTTAAAATAAGTACTATTTGGATCATAGACCACTATTGAATGCTATAGCAAAGAAACTATACAAGCAATGATAACTACCATTTAAAAATAGTTAACAGTGTGAATTGGAAGATTTAACGTGTTTTCTTCTTTTAATGTACAGCCCCATTCCCAGAATTTCACTGGACCGTGCGGACAGACAAACTGTCACAGCTGTCTATCAAGGCTGAATTAGATGAAGACAAACAATACAGGCTTTGTAGTTCAACTAAAGCAGCAGCCTCAAAAATTTCCATTTCTCATCCGAGGGCACTGTGAGAGCATTGTCTTCCCCCTCTCTGAAAAGAGAATGGAACAATTATGTTACTGAAATTCCTCTGCAGTGGGTCTGAAAGACTGTTTATGTCCAGCCAGGGAGACAGGGAAAACTAAAAGCAGGGATTTCATGACAGCAGGTGGGGGGGCAGTTTCAGGGTATATACTTCAGTGACATAATGGTCCTGATTCTTCTCTTTTAGGGTAAAGCCAGTGCTGGAAGATTTACTAGCAATAGAGGAAACAGCAATAAAAACACAAAGTTAAATGCAGTGGTAAAATTTTTAACTTGAAACAAAGCTTTACAATTGGCTTTCTGAATCAATCAGGTAATTAATTCTAATGTGAAGAGCATGGTGGTAAACTAGAAATGAAAATATAGTAGTCACAAAGAAAGTTTTACTGTTTACCATTTTAGGGGCCCTACCAAGTGAAGAAGTGCCGAGTACACAGCTCTCATGGGAGTCAGGTGGGCTCAGGAGATAGAAAGCAATCACCCAGTTTGTCCCTTCTAATAGCAGTAATATTCATTAGCAGCAGAGATAAATCAACACTTGGTTTCATGCAAACACATATTTATGTGTTGCAGCATAACCTTAGGAAATCAGCTGCTCAGGTTGCCCAAGTGCTTCTCAGTTCTGAAGTGGTAGGTATGAGAGTGCTGAATCATTTCATTCTGTTGTACTAATAATCTCATTTTTTCCTGAGGTTACTTCAGTGCCAACTATAGCTCAGTACATATACACAAAAAATCCGTGAGTGCTTGGGTGCAAATGGTCACCTGGGGCTATAATTGCTTGCAGGGTCAACACATCTCCAGGGAGTTCCTGCTCTTTTTCTTAAAGAAGAAGAGAGCGTAGCGGCTGTCTGTCACTGGAAGTGCTGCTAAGAAGTCAGTGTCTACCCATGAGACAATCCATGCCATGATTTCCATGTGCTCCCTGGTTATCACCCAACATCCCCAAAAGTCATGGTGTCTGGCAGCATGACCGTTTGATGGGCAACTTGAAGAACTTTCTACCAGCTGCCTCCTAAGGGAGGCTGTAAGCCCTTCTCAGGGTGGCTGGTTTTAGTCACAGTTACACTTTATGTAATAGCATAGAGGATTCCCAGTTCCTCCCAAGGGTTGGTATAAAGGTGTAACAAAAAAAATAAATGTAATAACAAGTCATTCTCTGTCTCTGGAAAAACTCTTGGCATGTTTTTCAGTGGGCTACTGATACAAGGGTGGAGGGATCAATCCCCTCCTTGAAGTGAACAGAAAGGTTCCTCTTGCACAGACAGAAGATACTGGATCAGGGAATTAGACTGAAAAATCTGAGCCAGTAAGCTCAAAAGAAAGAAAAAACTTTGTGTTCTTAAGGTTCTGTGTAGGCAAACTATGCTGTGACACAGTGACACTTTCTCAATCTCAATTAGTGCTGAACTAATTAACAAAACTGTTTTATACACTGCAGTGAGTAGCATCTCTCTTCTTTCTTGGATAATCCCTAGTGTGATGTAAGGGTGATTGAGTATCTAATTACTCCTTAATTGAATGCACATTTTGTACATTTTTCACTAGTTCAAGCTTAATGCTTTTGGTCCAAAAATCAAAGTCAGTGAAATTAAGTTGAACTGGGATTTGGGCAGCTATTGCATTAATGGATTACTTTTGGAAAGGAGCCTAATTACGAGCTAGTCTGAAGATTTCAGTTGTGTTTGTAACAGAAATACTTAATGTATTGTTTGACAAAAGACTGATTGTATATATTGGTAGTAGTGTTATTCACACTTACCCTTTATTCTTGTTTAAGAGTAATTTTTCTACCAGGCTAAATTAATAGCACTGTTCCATAATATATGTGGTCAAGTAACACACTATTTGGGCTAAAGGTTTATGCAGATATGGAGATACTTGCTTCTCTTACTCTTCTGAAAAGTTTTTGGAAATGTAATATTTGAGCTACAATTATAGGAACAGGCATGTGTATTATAATCAGAAAATTGCATAGACACCTTGTTTGTTTATAGAGTATATTTCTGTCTTTGAAATTTCCTTTGCTTGGGCTGAGTCCTACATATATTAAATAGAGCCCCACTGCTGCTGGTGGAGTCTTCTACAGATCAGACAACCATCCCCAAAGAAAAGCTTTCAGGATCAGTGCCATAAAGGGTAAATACCTGGGAAATCTAAGAGCTATTATCACAACATCCGTGGTTTAAAAAAAAAAAAGAATAAATACTAACAAGGCCAATCAAAATTCAGAAATCATCCTCAGAATGTAAAAAAATCATTATGTTTTGAAGAATATTTCTTTCTAATTCTTTCATATATTAATTTTATGTACTTAGATTCCTCACAGAGAATGAATTTTCCTGTACAAAACTGGGATAAGTGCAAGACTGTAACTTTATCTATCTCAGAAACAAGGAGCAGCAGCGGGAGCAAAGATAGGGCCAAGCTGGTGTATTTTTAAGAACCAAAGGTCCCAATGTTCCCATAGTAATAGATAGAACATATTTAAAAGAGAAGATATAAGAAAACTTCAGTGAAAAGGATTATTTTTCAAAGTCTTCCAAAAGTGCTGAGAAAGTGTAAATAAATGGACTATGAAGAAATGAAATAGGATGGCCACAATAATACGCCTTTCCATCTGATGGGGGGAAATAAGATGCCCCACTGCAGAAGCCTTAGGTCAAGATCACCACACAAGATCAAAAACTTTCTTCTGCTACTTAAAAGCAGTCAATCTGCTTTCTGGAGAGCTTTTCCACCTCCTTTGTCTTACCATATTCCTTACTATTACTGTCTCACACAATGTCTCTTGATTTTTTTTCCTTATAGAAGCATCTCGCCTTCTCCTTCTTAACACTAGGTTAAACCAAAAAGTTTAAGAGTTTATAAGCAATCAAAGGATATGGGTGGCAAAACGACTTTAACACTGAATACATATTACCATTATTCTAAACCTTCCTGAAAACAGCACCTGAAAGTATGGTCAGGCACGGATTCAGAGTGTCTCAGAGAAGAGGACTGACGACCTTATGAATCCTTATCTTCCCTGAAACACTCTGCATTTAACAACATCTAGCTAACTAAAGTGTACCTTTGCTCTCTTGAGCTCTAGAGATGCACAAAAATCTTTTAAAAATTACAGTAAGTTTTGCTTTGTAGCACTGCTCTGTCATAAACTGTGGTGTTAGTCATAAAACGTTGTTAACAGTCACTGCTGGTATTCTCTTGAGTGACAATTATCAGTTGCAAAAACATTTTCAGTAACACAAATAACTTGATCAGGTTTGCTCACTATTTATTTTCAAAACATTGCTGTCTGCTTAGCAAGAGTTTGTTTGCATACTTTCACTGCATTGTTTTCATCCCTATGAAATAATTAGAGTTACAAATTCCAATAAGAGTAAGGACCTGTGACTACCTGGATCTTCAGTTTCAATGGAGTAATAATGTCCTGCTTAAAACTCCCTGTGTGATTTCATCTAGGTAAAACACAGTGCACTCCCACTGCCTAACATGTATAACACTGCTGAAGGAGGAATGAGTATTGCAGGCTTTCTTCTCTGTCTGTGGTCAGACACATGTACTTGTATGTCCTAATATCTTTGACATTTGAGAGCTGTTACATTACTACAGTTCATACGTACTAATGTGGAGTTTTTAAAAAATAGGTGTAGTTTTTTCAAGATGATGTAAGCTTCCTACCATTTTGCCTCACCACTAATTTTCAGCATTTTCCCCATAAGTGAAAATACCATGGCAGAGTTTTAGTGTGTGTTCAGACTCCAGCTTTTGTGTTGAAATTGCCAATAAACATGCTCTGAGGGTGGGTTTTATGACAGGCACTCTGGGCTACATTGTCACTTCCCAAGTAGCAGTGTACAAACCATACATGGTTTATGGTAAACAGACAGAAATTATACTCTCAAAATGCTTTTCATAAAAAAGCTGATGATAACAGAGTGCATTGTAGATAGCGAAGAATGTATGATGCTGATAGAGAGTCACAGGTCAAGAAATTTAGGAGCCCTTGTCAGCATGAAGGATCTTATCTGAAGCATAAGCAGGGGTCTGAGTCCTAGGCTACCTTATTTTTTTAGCTTTGAAAAGGAAGCACAGTATTTTGTTTCTTCTTTGCTTCTTATGTGCTAAGAGACTTCAACTATTTTCCATTCCTCCACCAAGATTCGTGTATTGCTAAGAAGAGCTCAGTAAACACTTGAACAAGGACAATTCCACTATGGTACTCATTCTGGAAACAGCTACAACTCAGAATGGTTTTCTTCCTCATTTGGGGCTTGATCACTCCCTATACTGATGCTCTGGCCTGGACACGGCATAAATTCGTACTACAGCAGTGACCAGTCTGTGACTCTTGGGCTGCCTGTGGCTACCAAATCTCTAAATTGTGACTCCCGTGTCAGAGGTATGTCACACAAGCAAAACCAGAATTTTTCTACTGACTAATTTGAACCCCCAGCAGTGGGAAAACGAGTTAGGCTGACATTACACGGTTCACTTACAATCTCAGTGCATACCCCATTCCCAGCTATTACAACAAAGTAGTGGGAAGCAACCTGAAAAGTTGCTTTCAGCCATTCCTGAAGCTCTTAGTCCCCTGAATGCTCCAAAAGTTTTGGTATGTTTCCAGTAGGTCTCCGATTATGGCTTGCGGCTCACAAGCCAAAGCTGCCTGTCCCTCTGTCCTTTTGTCACGCACTCAAATGTAAGCACATTCTCAAGCACTCTGAAGTGCCAGCGTAGTGTTGGGCACTATGCATAAACTTCTTAAAAACAGGAGAACAACAGTCAGTTTTGTTGATAACATGAAGATGAGTTTCTTTCAAAGACTGAAACTTAACAATTAAACCAACCACCTTTTAAGCACAAAACCTAAATTCATGGAGACAAACAAAGACCGATGAAAAATCAGTTGCTGAGAAGTAGCATAAATACTCATATTTCATCAAATCTAGGAAATTGTGCTTGTATTTCTAAAGAACTAGTGCTGATAATCTTTGTGTTGTT